TCAAAAAAAAAAAAAAAGATGACAATCTGATCCAGAACTTCAACAAAACACAACCCCACCAGTCATAAAATTCATAATTGAGCTCTGATGATTACTAACGTTAAAAAAATAAGAACAGCTAATGAATTATTTGGAGAAGGGCAGGAAAGGGCCCATGGCACTAGGCTTTTTAAGCAAGGGCTCCGCTTACCTACGGCATAAGCAATAATATTTTCTTATAATATATATTATATATATTATATAATTATCATTTCTTATCTGAGCGATAAGGCCCTTATTGTGAAATATGTTGAGTATTTTTTTTTAACTTCTCGAAATCAAGAATACATGATGGTATTTAATACTTTGTAGGACTAGGTCCTAGTTTCACAATTCAGTTAAGATCCCAAACTGTCACTGGTCCATCTGCAAAACTTACCACTCACATCAACAGGGAATTCTACTCAGAAATACAGGCCTTGATTACGACCTTTAGTCTCCGCTAATGATTTCATAAACCCAAGATTTCCCAAGTTAGGAAACAGGGTTAGGACATAGGGTACAAAACAGTTGTACCCTGTATCAACCTGCTCTAAAGAAGGGTTTAAAAAAAACCCATACGAAACAGCCAAGATGCTAAATTAAGCAGGAGAGTTAAAAACAAATCTTTCATTCCCAGAGCACAAGACTGAGGTTACAGAACAAGGCAGGGTCGTACAGTAACTGGTCTAACAGTACATTTACTGAAAACTTCATACAACTACACTGGTTTAATTACTGAGACAGAAAGATGAAAATCCCTTTCACTTCAAGCCCTTGGAATCCATGCCAAAACAGGGCACAATACATCACTTCTACATGTTTTTTACCTCCAAGCGAGAGAAAACACACAGTGCAAACCCTCAGGTGAAGTGGCACTGCAGGCTGCTGCTGCACAATTTTGATGAGCTCAAGCCACAATTTTAGTCTCTTCAGCAAAAACTTACATATGTGTGTGCGTGCACACAGAGCAGAATTTCAGCCATTTTAAAATGCAAACTGAGCCAAGATCACACAGGATGACTGCTTCTTCAAAAATGATTTTTTTTATGGTGACAAAGTAATGTCAGTGCTAGCAGGGGAGGAACTGCCAGAAAAAAATAAATAAGCAAACACTGCTCCAAGTACATGGCCAGCAGAGTCATTTCTTGCAAACAACCCACTTAATAAACATATCTAATCTTCAAAATTACCCTCTTAGAGCTGCATATAAACATGGAGGTTTTGGCTGTATCAAAATGAGAAACAATCCCCTACCATGAACAGCAAAATAAAAGACAATAAGGCCCCAGGACACTTCCTTCTTCAGAAGGATGGTGATGAACTTATGTTGGTAAATAATAAAGCCAGATTTAGAAGTCTGGGATGTTTGGGAATTTGTTAATGACTTTTGTTTAAGAAATTAGCTAAGAGGATCTGCAGCTAATTCTGCCTTACATAAACTTCCAGCAGTTCCATGCAGCATGGAGCCAGGTTGTACTCGTTGCATTGACAGCTGTACTCAGAAGAAATGTCCGTACATTCACCGAGGTTTTTGTGTGTTTGCTTCCTGCATGACCTGAAACACAGAGCTGGGCAAAGCTACTTGCCCTAAAGAGTCTGAAAACACAGGTCATTTGTTTTGGTTTTCCCCCCACAGTATGCACAAGGAGGGAACCCTTTCTGCAGAGGAATTTTATGTAACAAATGTAGTCTTTCACATCAGCCTGGGGCTTTAACTTGTAACAGCAACTTTTTTTGCACACTTTGATTTGATGAATCTGAGTGAATAGCATCAGAGAGGCAGCAACAGCTATTGCAAAAAAGATGGTTTTTGTTTGATGCACTCTTAATATTTTTTGTACTTACCCACTATCCTGTTTTTTCCTATGCTCCCACTTGCCAAAAGTGTGTTGGAAGAAGACATGTAGAAAAGGAGATTAAAGAAAAGCAAGTGGGAAGTTTTGGGTTTAGCTGTTCCTTCAGATGTGGCTGCACAAAAGCACAACACACTCAGCCTACAGACACAGCAAAGACTAACTTGGCCTGCACAGTGTCAACACAGGAGAAGGAAGTTCAACACTCTGCTCTTCTCAACCCATTTAGAAACTATTTCATTCAGTGGTCAGGTCTACAAACTTGAAAGCTGCTGCAGGCAGGATACCTGAATAGTTTAAACCACAGACATTTATCAACTTGTTTTGTTTTAGCAGATACTACTTCCCATGACAAAACTACTTCTGAAAACTGCAGCCATTTCAATCCACCCACAACCCTGCAAGGAGTAAGAGTGGGATTTCACAGGTTCCGACAGCCTCCATGAAAACAGTAGCAGTAACATACAGCAGGTGTGACAGCGGCTGAAGGAGGCTGCTAAAAACTATTCCTTAGGATCAGCTGTGAAATCCGATGGTAGAGAACAGGAGGGTCCAGCAGGCTTGGTTCTGGAGTGGGTCTCGGAGCACTGCTGCTTGCTTCCTGAGACCCCCTGATTCCTTTTCTCTCACCACTGGATTTTACACTTCTTACACTTTAGTACAGATGTATTTATCGCTTTTATTTCTTTCTTACCTTGTCTGTGGTTTCTCAGGTGAGAACAGGGTATTAGGCACCACTAACAGAAAAATTTGCTTTCAGTTCTTTATTATAAATTTGTTTTTCTAACAACAGGATCCTTCATCTTCATAATATTAAAAAAATAATATGTTATAATGACACAGGTGTACTGTGAGGTTCATATTATTAACAGGTATCAGTATGTTTAAAATCCGCAGGCAAGGTAAACTCCGTTATGGATTTGACTATGCAAGTTTATCATCAGCATTTTTGTCTGTTTGGCCACTGTTTTGTTTTCCCAGTGTATAATGCTGCTGGAACTCCATGAGCATTGATCTTTATTTACTTCTGCACTCAGGTGGTTTTGCCATCAGCTTTCTCATAGTAGCCAACTGTGTAATTCAGCCATGAAGTGATGGGTAAGGAGATAACTTGTCTGCAGCATGCGGAGATTTGGCTCCCTACGAATGGCTATTGTCTGTCTTAAATTCTTCTAAAAGTGAGCTGCTTCAAAGACAGATTTTAGAAGCAACTTTACAAACTCTGATACTGCTTCAAGTAGGTCAAATTGTATTTCCGAAGAAAATACTGCATATTACTTAAAAGATTCTACGGCCTATAGTGTTCGTTGATCAGCAAGTAGAAGACGTTCCGTGGCCATGAGTGGAAGAATGTGCTGAAACACCACTGAAGTCACGGACCAGCGTTTTCAGGCAAGATGTTATAATAGTCTCATTGTAAGGGCTTCACAAATTAAATGTGCTTTATAACAGGGTGCACAGATGTTTCGTCTAGGGACTTCCACCCACCATTATATGTAGTATGAAAAATTAAATTAGTTGTAATATTACTAGCTTGTCCAAGAGTTTATCAACCAACAGTACATGATAATGCCCTGAGGTAAATTCGGACTGGCTTTACAATTCCTAGTTGTGAGCTCAGCGTTGACTGTAAAATTGGCAGCGCTAAGTTAAAAGCAGACTGCACAAGATGAGATTCAGCTAATCCATCTTCGAGCAGATCTAGCCCAGCATTAACAATGTCTGCGTTTGTACGTAGCCACAGGTTTTGGTTATTGGCAGAGACTTGTTTCCGGCGTTTGCAACCAGAATGTATTTGCTGTATTTAAAACGTCTCTGTTTTCCCATACACCATGCGGGTTTTTTTAATATAACAGCAAAATAACTGCTGTTATCATCTTCTAGTTACGTTATTAGGTCAATTAAATTGGTTGAAATAAGAAAGTTACCACAGTCAGGCTTCGGAATTGGCAATGTCAAACAAAACGGCTTTTAAGATCTGATTTAAAAAACAAAGCTTTTGCCATACATAGGGCTGCAAAATATTAGGAACAAACACGGGGAAGCCACTGGTTTTTTGGGCAAGAAGCTAAACCAGATCCAAGCTCCTTTACAGAAGCTGTACCCTGTATTAGTCTTAATACTATTTTTCTTAATACTGCTGGTTTGAGCCTCTGAAATACTCTGCACAATCAATTTGATAAAAAAGGCCATTCAATTGCATAGTAAAAGCTGCTGGGAAAAGCTATTTACTGTAAATAGGAATTCATTTTCCCAAGGAGCAAACACTGATTCTTGCACATATAGCCAAGGCTAACGGTGGTACTCACCAGCTTCACGCAGATAATGAAAGGTGGAGTTGCTTCTCTGAAGTGACATATAGGAATTTTTGGCTTTGGTCTCTCCTGCAGGAAAAAGCAGTAGAATTCAGTGGAGAGGCACACAGGGTCACTTGTTAGCTTGGTTTTAGGAGCTACTAAGCACTAAAAGGGAAAAAAAATATTTTGAGACCTCATGCTAAATAGTCCGGCTGGTCACGTGCTTCCGCTCATTATTTTGCCAGCCGTTTCACAGACCCCTTACTTCACTTTCTTACCATAATCTTCCCATACAATTGTGTTTCTCTGAATGAAGTCACACACTACACAAGATCTGAATTAAGAGCTTTCTGCTGTTGAAAGGAGAAGGTCTCACTCCTCTCCACCACTGCTTTTTCCTTACCTCCAAGCTCTACTTTTAGCCCTTTCCAAAACAATTCCTCTCTGATCTGACTGCAAGGTATGCTGCTTTAATAGGCTATCCCCTAAAAAAATACATATTTCTTTTTTTTTGGCAGGGTAATTTCCTGCCACTTTAGTGAGCTGAGTCAGCTCACGATGCCATCAGAGAAGCATCAGAGCAGGCACAACAGTGAAACAAAGCAGAATCCTTCCCTCTTGGTGGGAGCTGTCAAATGGCTTATGCCCAACTGGGACTCCACCATGGATCCAAGCTGCAGAATTTTCTAAGGATTCACAACAGGTTGCAGTACAATCGTCTTTACAACGGATCTGAGAGGATGAGTATGTCTTAGGAAGACAAACACGAAGGATCTGTAACAATTATGCTGACAGTATCACTGCACTGGTAGTCAGTCAGTCCTCAGTATTCCAAGTCAAAACCCTGAACTCCAATTGCTTTCATGGAGCTGAAAGCACTCATTAGCTTCCCAGTACGGAATTTGGTTGTACAGTTACTCTGGTTTTAACCACAAGCTGCATCTGAAGTGCTGCCCCTGCTGTCCCCCTGCCCTTCCCTCAGTCCCGCTCCCATCAGATGTAAGGATCACGCAACCTCAGGGTAATTGGATTCACAAGATAACTTGCCGGAAAACTTTCTATTTTGAGGGCTCCTTTTCTGCCAGATCAGCTAACTGAACCAAGGCATCCTTCAGCCGCAGGACTGCTAGCCCTGTTGTAAACAAAGGGGTGAGAGTGTGGCTGAGGCCAGAGCGCCCAGTCAGACCACCCCTGCAGCCAGACTGGCTGAGCCGCGGCGCCGAATTGCGCCCTCAGAAGACAGCGTTCGCAGGATCTGATCCCACACCCAGTGAAACTGAGGGTCTTTTCACCAACTTTTGTAGTGAATCTGGATGAAACTTTACTCCAGGCCTTGAGCTAATTGCTACCATGGAATTAATACTTCAAAAAGACAACATTTCTTTTTCCTATATGGTTTGTTTATTGTCATGTAAACATCATCCTTCCCTGTCTAGGGAATGGAACGTTGCTGCCTACAGTTTTAGGCTACAAAGGAACCTATCACAGTCTTATTCAGATACAGGATAACTATAATACACAGATAGGTTACCATTAGTCACTGAAGCTTTCTTTAATAGATATTTGACTTTTTTCCATCATGAGCCAAATTCCACTCCCACCTAAAAGAAAAAGCTGTCAGCGAAGGCTGTTTTACCCCATCATCAGAATCCTTTCAGAGTATATATATTTTTGTCTTTCTACACTGACTTCAGTGAGTGCTGGCTCCATAGCTGGCACTCCAGTATCAGTCCCCAGCTTTCCAGTGTCCTGTCACGGCCTCCATACCAAAAAAAGTTGCTATGCAGTGTTTAAAATCAGTGATGTATTCTTTCATCACAGTGAAGAATGCAAGAGTACTTACAACTAACCTCAGATTCTTCGTAAGTGTAGAATCCTTTTGCTATTTTCTTTCCGTCAACATCACAGAACGCGGTTACCTGGCGGAACAGAAGCAGAGCCTTTGCTACCAGCAGTGTTTCACCTGTAGCGTACCCATGTCAGGAGTGCTACGGGCATGTGAATGAACACGGGAATAGGGCAACGCACCCTGCTCCTCCTACACAGCTTAAAAGTGTGTCAAATCCTCTCCGGGTGCGTCTTAAGGAGAAGGGCAAATTCTGCAGTTGTCTATGAGCACGTTATGTTTTTACGAACATGACAACAAGCGGTCAAAACTACTGACTGTGTAAGAGCAAATACCTACAAGATCATCAACGCCATCCTCAACGACACGCTAAGTGAACTAGAGACACAGACTGGCCTCCTCATTTTGGCACTTCCACTGAACACCTAAGGCCAGATAACACAAACCTTCCTCTTTCTGCCCCCCCAAGCGCATAAGCTACCACCAGGGAAGTCACTACAGCAGCGCTGCACTATTGCTTTGGATGCTCTGGTAATACCAGCCTCAGTTCTAACTCATAACTCACCGAGTTTGGGAATTCCTCTGGCTTTGGACTTTGTACTTTTCAACTGAAAAGTTCAGCAGATTTGGTGTTTAAACACATATAATTACTGCTCCATTTTGGTTATTCTTACTGTAGTTATGGACGTATTATTTGCAGCCCTAGTTGCCAAATATTTCAGATGTTTTTTTTTATTTGCATTCCTCAGAAACATGTAGGCAATCCAAAATACAGTGGCCTCGTTTCTGGACCCTTAGGTTGCCAGTAACATTTCAGAAGACTTTTTAAAATAAACATAGCTATGTTTTCCTCTGATTTCCATTGGATCTATTCATATTATCTGCACAGAACTCTTACACTGAAGCAGCACAGTTAAGATGATAGTTAAGGTCTTGCAGGAATCAATTATTCTGGTAAAAGCTGGAGAGCAGTTTTCCTATCTTTTTAGTTTTTGCATTAAAAATTGATTAACAACACTTACCGCTGAGAAAAATTTGAAAAGCCAAACAGCTGTTTATTAATTTATTAAGTTAGAGAAGGCTGCAAAAGTCTGGTTTGCTTTCTGTGTCAACAAATCTCTCTCACACATTTTCCTCCTGTGATTTAGATCATTTTCTTTTACCTAAAGTGACCTCATTCTGCTTGTGCAGAGGAAAGCACTGACACCAAAGTGCTGGTGTCATAACGCTGAACTTTTGCATTCTTCATTGCTCCTTCACTCCCAACACCCAGTGCCCCTTTACAACCCAAGGGCAAAACTGCAGAGGAACAGAACTGCGTTACACGTGTTTTCAGGCAATGGCCAGAGAGAGGTGCATTCTCTTGCAACATAAAAAGTGTTTCTACATCAAAAATACTTTCGAGATATTCCTACTGTCCAATGGAACTGTGTTCTATCCCAATCCTTAAATACCATGTCAGTTCTTCCATTAAATATCAATGGAAAGAGAACATAAGCAAATATATGAAGGGATTACCTACATGGCTGAACACCACCACCGTACGACGTCAATGTGGAAAATACAGCTACTAAACTGGAGGGGGTGGGCAGGGACAGCCCTTGGAACCACTCAGAGGTAGACATTCATACCTGGCAAACACGTTGCTTGAAAACAGGCACCAAAAGAAATAAAGCACAGAACATTAAGGAAACAGTAAATTTTCACTTTGGTGCTGTACGACTACAGGAATCACATTACAGGCCAGCAGATCCAGCCTTTTGCTTCGGATGATCCTGACGCAGGGATCGCACGAAGGACACTTGCCCCGTTTCAGGCATTATAATGGAAACAGAAAGAATGGAGGGAATCCAGGGCAGTACTAGGAAGTTACTAGACACTGCAGAAGGTCTTTGTGGCTGATGCAGGCTGGCTTAGACAGTAGCAAACACAAGCAACTCTTTCAAGCACAAAGATGAAGAACCAGGATCTATCTTGGGCTTTTTTTCTCTTAGACACAAGTTAATACACTTTACATCCCTGTCCCTATTTCCCTGACCACTGTAATACTTTATTGTAGTTGAAAAATTAGATGGTGTGGACTGAGCACAGTAAACTGCATCCCAGTATTTCCCCTAGCCATGTTATTTATGTGTGCACATACATACATACACACACACGTATATAACTCTGTGTGTGTATATCTATATGAAGGGAAGCAAGTAGAAGCCACTGTGGAAAGAGAGATTACTTACCTGCAGACTTTTCATTCTGTGTTAATCGCCTTTAAAATTCTCCAATATTCTGCAAATCTCAGTTCCACCACTAATGTTGTACTGTCCTAGAAGCTGTGATCATTCTAAACAAAACTTAGCAGGATCTGTCTTCACTGTCTACCCAGCAGAGTTTTGGGAATAAATACAGTACAATACATTGACTTACCTTCCAATAATTAAAGCTATTTTTTCAGCTGCTTATCCTCCTATAGATTTTAAAACCAAAACAAAACATCAAAAACTTTTTACGTAAGGTAAAGTGGAATTCTATCTACGCTTTGATGTCAGTAACTGAGAATTCAGCTGTAAGATCTGTGATGGAAAGTATCACACTGTTGATCATCCAGCATGTTATAATACAGTTCACAGAAACCCCTGACTGGGGCATAGATTTCTTCTTCACATGAATGGGTTTAGAGAACCAAAGACAGTTCTTGTTTCACTGGGTTACCAATAACCATAATACTTCCACTCATCCTGTGCCATAACTCATACTACCCTGTGCAGAAAATTCTGCCCAGCCCCCAGACGACCTGGCACACGAAACTCCTGGTAACAGCAGCTGCGTGGAAAAAAAAACCCTTGACAGGTAAGTCTGTGACAAATTTCCCTTGGAAGATGGGAATGACTAACCTTTTTCTGAGTTACCATCTCCATGTTATCATTTTCAACGGATTCAGCCAGCTTACATCTGATATTTACAGCATTAGAAAACAGGTCAGACTTGAACGGCCGATTTTTCTGCCAGACTGTACACCACGTGGGTGGCCAAAATGTAAGTCAACTATTTTTCTGACACACACTATTTATTTTCCAATTAAAGAAAATCTATGTCTGGAGTCTAAATACAGGACTTACGCACAATTGTTTATCCTATAAGGAGAACTCAAGGCATCAGGCTTATATGAGCTATTTATTTTATACCATTAGGATAAACCTAGAGTTACCTATTTATTTTCCTGCATTTATGGGCTTCTTTCTTGTATCTTTTATGAAGACCATCTATCCATACACAAGCTGCTGTCTTCCAGAGAGGAACCTATGAATTCTAAATCTATAAAGCAGCCTCAAGTTGTCTTCCCCCTCCCCTTCCAGGAAAATAGCTCTTTTGCAATGCCTCTGACAACATGACACCATTGAAGCTTACAGAGTTCTCACATCACACTTCAGTTTTAAGAAAAATATATAAATGAGTACATATTTTTGTTTTCAACATCACTTGTATGAAAATCTGCACAATTCCAAAACAAAGAAAAAAGACTGCTATTTCTTTCGGCTAGAAATTGGAAGAGGAATTGGAATTGGAATAGTTTTCTCTCTCATAAGACAAAGTTTATGTGGCTCAAAAGATATTTACGCAAAAAAAAAAAAAAAAATCTCTGCTAGGGGAAGACACATTCGAGGAAGATAAAAGCACTTCTCTGGCTGGTTCTTTTTAATAAACAGAGTAGCTGTGTGAAGGGACACACAGGCTGGGGCTATCAGACCTCCCTGTGGTGGAAGGAGATTAATGGGCAGCAGATTAATCCTACTCCAAACGGTACAACCTAAGAAGTCAGTAAGAGTGGGCTGGGGGCACAACTGGAATTATCTGTTTGAGCTGTGCGACTGTTGCACAAGAATTAATAGTTTGTTTCATGCTTGACTTGTTTACTGCCTTGCTGGCTACTGCAGAGGATGTTCCCTTGCACTTCCCATTCCGCTCAGATTTCCTAATGGAAAAACTGGAAGATTTCATCAGCCTAATAACATGCATTTATGGTGAATGATCTTCACAGGATTTTATTCCCTCATCCTATTTTCACCTGTGGTCTGCAACAATCATTTACAGAAAGCAAGAAAACATAATCACAGCAAATTCTCAAGATCTGTTCTAGCTGGAAGGACATGAGAGGCCAGTTTTACAAGGGAGAGAGAATAACTTAGTAGAGCATGACCAAAAAAATGCACAGCCCTTTTGATAAATGGTCACCTGCACACTGTCTCCTCTCCCTCCTCATTATATCAATTGGTCTCATAAAATTTATCTTTAAAGAAGACAACCTGCAAACTCCACAAAATCTTATACGAGCAGATCTTCCCTATTGCATTCTCTCCACATCTCATGCAATCCCTCATCCGTTGTAAACTTCTAGTGACCCTGTTGATTCTTCTATTTATAATTCTTTCATTCAAACTTATAGAAAGCCTCGGAAGCACGTTCATATACATCTCTGCAAGAGTTAAATCAATTTTGGCCGTTCATGTCAAAACAAAGTAACTGAAAGCATTATAATGCAAGTTTAAATAGATCCAGTTAATGACAAACAGAACGAGAGACATGCAGAGGCATAAACATCTTCCAGCACACCACATGCAGAACCATGAAGCTAGCAAGCGTCTCTCCCTCGCCATCCGAGTGATTTTCAGGATCAGGGTGCTGCTTTAATGTCACCTCTGTGGCACTACAGCCACGCCAGAAGCTGAGGGGACCTTTACATGCCGAGCGTGCGTTTCAGGACTCCATTTAAAGCCACTATTCCATTAAGGACAGCAGCATCTTCCGTCTTTGCACATACACATAACAAAGTTGCTCAAGAGAATTTTAACACTAGAATCCAACATGCAAAATAAGCTTCTAAGCATTGTACGTAGAAAATTTCCCTTCTTACATACAACATACAACTGCCTTTATACGTAACGCTGTGGGAACTAGTTGCAAGTGTCTCATTTCTCTAGAACAGTAACTACGTTAGTTACGCCGGGCACGTCTCCAGCGTGCGTGTCTCTGTACTGGCAAAACAGACACTGCAAAAAGCTCACCTTCCCAAATGAAGCAGCTGGGAGATTTCCCTGCTGTATTTCAGCATGGAGTGTTCTCTACAGTCCAAAATGAAGCTTTATTTTAGGATGCTTTATGCCTGGAGTTAACTGAAGCTTTCAAATTTCATCTCTTTTTGTTCTGTAGGCTCTCTTTTAACTTGCCCTCACATTGTCATTCTTTCTCTCACTCCACAATCAAGGTGGGTGTAATATTCTTCCCTTTATTTATGTTTCTTTGCTTTTACAGGTCCCCACTTAAGTCTCTCATACTGCCATTCATATACTTTAGTTAAAATGCTACAAAACCTAAAGATTCCTTGCTTTTGTGGGTGAGCCGAAGGATCACAGTTGAAGTACATGACTTAGTGATGTTACTTTTAGAAAAAGGTGAGGACAAACAGATTTTAAATGGTTAATGAGCTAAGAAAAAGGGTGTACCAAATACTTTCTTGAAGCTTTCAAGTTTGCCACTGGCGGAGAGGGCTGTCATCAGGAAACCTCTCACGGGCTGGCTGTGTAGCAGTACTGTTTCCACACCACTAATTGGTTGGTGCTTATTTCGTCCTTTTCTGTTAGCTATTCGAGCGCTATTTTCAGCTATCGGAAATGACAGAAAATGTTAATGCTGAAGTTCTCCTTTTAGCTAAAGTTTGATGGAGAATAAGAGCAGACAAGACAGCTCGCAAACCCTCCAGGCATATGTAGCATCCCAAAAACATTTGGTTTCCATCTTCAGCTGCAAATTATAGACAAGACGGATGTGTTTTAAACAAAAAAAGGTCTGTTCGACTTCATTCTTGCAGAAACGCTAATACTGAACCACTGTCAACTGCGTGAATCAAGAAGGGTTTCAGCCAGGAAACAGAATTTCCCTAAGAATACTGAGATCCTGGTAATTAATTCATAAAAAACCTACTAGTTGAATAATTTTTTTCTTGCGTTGCTGTTGAGCAAAAATACTGAGTCTTGGATTTTCTGCCTGAACTCTTTGGAGACAAAGCATTATTTTAATATTCTCCATACAGATGTCTGAAGGAAAAGAGAATATTGCTTAGGTGTCCTTTTCTCTTTTAACATTGCCATAATTCAAATTCAGACTATTTTCCAAACAGACTAACGTAATAATCTGTTAGTGAGTATGAACAAAAACAGACTGCTGCTTCCTGGAATTGCCAAAATTTTGTTTTCTAAGAAACCATGCTGTTTGGCATGCAATGTATTTATACTTTTCAAACATCCCACAAAAACCTAATCAGTGTAAGAAATACAATTGCTTTGTTTATCAGGTTCTAAAAATACTAGGAACATCCTTTTTTGAAAAAGATGTTTTCGTACATGCCCTAATCTTGACAGTTCAAACTAATTAATTCTCAAGATTTAGTGGAGTTCAGTTTGTTTTTTCACAATTACTAAATAATACAAGCTGTATGTAATTGGGTTTTGGGTTTTTTATTATTTATTCTAGGAGTATGAATCTCTAGTGTTCTCATAATTAACAGAATATATGAAAGCTTAAATCTTGTTAAGACAGTCTTCAAAGGGTGAGACAGGAAAGTGTTTTATTGTTTTTAGGGCTGGAAAGGATGAAGCAACAACTATTTACAGCCTTTGTTCATATGGGATTTTAGAGTCTTTGGCAAGAGTTGAATATTAGTCACAAAATACCTGAAGGATTTTTAAGGACAAGGATAACATGGAGTTTAACTAGCCTCCTTTTACTGTTATTTAGAATAAAATGAAAACTGCCACGAATTACCTACTGCAAATTTATGAATTTATTTCCTGAAACTTCAACAGCATAATCCTTTGATTATCACCTGGAGAAGTGAAATGTTTTAACTACTTCCACAGCCTTTTGCCAACAACTTACTATGAAACATTAGGATGTCATTAAAGCTTCAGTTCTGACTGAAATGGATAGACTTGGGATCTCACTTTTGGAAAAGCTAGGAAGTTAAAATGGCAATCATAATGAGCCTGGACAACTACATAAAACTACTGCTTTAATCACTACAGATAGCTAATTTCTGATTAAATTACTGTTATCTCAAAGCTAGGCCTCTACTCTCACTTAGGACGATACAAGTCCCTTTCTGAAGCTATTTATCTTCATCGGTTAGTGAGAAAACCTCTGAATACTTCAGGTAACATCAGACTTAGTTGATAAAGCTTGATTACTCTATATAAGGTATTCAGGATCAGACTGTAACTGCATTTTATGTAGTAGTTTTCTGCAGTACATGTGCAAAATGAGTCATACTTGGCATGTGCAATTGCATCTGGCATGTAAGCTTGCTAAATGTGTCTGGTATAATATCCAGTAATTAATGGGTTAATGCTCAACGCAGTATTTCAATATCAAACTAAAGCATACTGGAATATGTGCAATTGTAACCTTGACAGAAGCAAAATAGTATCATGGCCTGCAACACTGCCAAAGCAAACCTTAGGTGAAGGTCAGCTGGAAAGAATGCCAAGATCCAGTTAACGAGAACCACGCTGTCCGTGCTAGCGTACTGGGAACGAAGGTTGTTCCCCATGAAGGAGAGGTAAGCTTTGGTTTTTTGGCAGAAAAATGGCAAAAACCCACCAATATTATTTTTCTTTTGTCCTTTTTATCATCTCTGCAATGACATCTTCAAGTTATCATGGTGTTTGCTGAACAGGATGTGAAGTCCTGAATGAGTCACCTATAGAAGTAGGTGGCAAATGTAGCCCAAAGCTAGAGAGGTGTGCTATCTTACCAATCTCCATTTTGGCTTGGTACCAAAACAGCTAGAAAACAAAACAAAACCAAAAAAACCCAACACCTAAGATGGTGAGACACTGCTACACGGTCTATTTTTTCTGTAACATCTCAAAAATGTCTTCCCTTGCAACTTATTTTCTAATTCTTATAACCCTGCAGACAGAAAAGCGCAATGGTTGGTAGTAAGGTAGTGGAATTCACAAAGTGCTCCGCAAAATACTAACAAAAGAGAACTTTTTCATAAACCCCCAAATTCATGTGCACACTGCACTGCATGACCAAGGTACCTCAATATGTTTAATGGACAGTTCTGTCCTCTTTGAATGAAGTAACTGACTGGAGACACACAGCATTTAATCTTCTTCCTACAGTTCACCCACTGCCACCTGATGGCAATGAAAGAGGGATGTGACATTGGAATATCAAGCAGGAAAATCAGGTCCAATTCTTGTGTTATATATTTACTCTATAAGCATCTCCCATGTCTATACAGTAATTTCAACTATGGGTATACAAATTTCTTCTATTTTTTTCTATATGCGTGCAGTCTGAAGGCCACAACATTAATCAGGTTTTCATATATATATATATCTGTCATTTTGTCTTCCCATCCATATTTTTAAGAAAAGAAAACAAATTTGGTAATAACATGAATGGTCTGTAGCTCTTTATAAGAAGCAGCCATTTGACCTCAGCCCTAAAGCCTTTATCTAGCAAAAAGTTATTACACAAACAAAAATGCTATAAAAGTAAGGTATGTAAACTCTCAGACAAATCTCTCCTGAGAAATATCTGCCATTGCCCATTATAAGTAACCTCCACATTTTCAATTGATTGCAAATTGAATTAGATAGCCAGGTACAATAGTTTCTACTCGCCTATTCACCTCACCCTCCCCCCCCATTTTTAAACAATCAAACTTTTCAAAAGGGAGTTACAGCACAACTACTCCTCATAGTACAAACCAGGTTGATTGGCATCTGGTAGGGACCTGTCTGGTACTCATTTAGGAACTGGGCAAATATTATACATATATGAATAATCTTGCACGAAGTAGTTTAGTATTATACCATCCAAGAGTTATTCTACTCACCTTGGGCACCTGGCTACTACATGGTTAGTTACACCATAAGAGCCATAAACAATTAGTGGGTCTAACCTATTACTAGGCTCAGTCATCAGCAAGCAGGAATATGGGTCCATACGTTGTAGTACATATACACCATATGCTCTAAATACAGTAACAGTGCATTTTAAAAGAAGAAATACATTATGCAGAATATTGAGAATTTCCCCAATTTATATTAATCATCAACTAGTACTTTGGGGACAAAATATCGTATGAGAATTTTGCTGGAAGAAGCAAGAAGGCACATGAAAGAGAAGAATGTGGTTTTGTGCAGATGTTCCCCACTCTTACTAGCTCACCTTTTTCCGATTAGCTGGTGACAAGCTTCTGTAGAGCTTCTTGCCTTGCTTGCCAGCATTCCAAATGGTGAATGATGTCCAGGAGCTCAGGACTCTGTCTTCAAGAAACCTGACGCGGTGATTCCAGATGGTTCCCCTGGAAAGTTAGAAAAAGAGTGGATTTTTGACCCCTAAAACTTTTAGCATTATTATATGCCTATATGCACATGTACATACTCACATACACATGAACGTGACCAAACTGATTCACACAATATAAAATATCACACCAAAACATTATACTATAAATTTCTGAGGGAAACGCAAACTGTTGCTAGAACACCACAAATTCTATGGAATTCTGAGACAACAGTCATTAGGATAGATTTGAATCTGCAGCTAAATGACTATTATTTTCTAGAATCCTAATGGAAGATTGCAAGAAGATGAAAAACTGTGACTATAGTAATCAAATCGAACACGGACAATTCCACCTGCCACCAATACACTGTTTGCCCATACTCATCCTCATCATATGAACTGCTCTATAACCCTGCAGTGCATACAGGCAAACTATCTCCTATATCCAAGATGACCTCTTCACATTCCATCTGCCCATGTATTCATTTTCCTTGGTCCATACAAAGTTGAAATCTCATGAATTGGCTACTCCAATCAACCCAAATATACAGCCCAATGCTGCAACAGAAGTCCATTTACGTCGTGGTATTCAGCTAAAGGCTCCAACGAGTCAGTTGTAAGAAAAAAAAAGTAAGCTGACAGATGTCTGTATCCAAATACACCTTAACTCTTCATGTTTGTAATAAGTTCCACAATATAACTTAAGCCAAGCAGTTGAGGTAAACAACTGTGAGACTGATACCAAATGATGAACCATATGGCTTTGGAATCAGTAACAAGGGAACACCTAAGGTCTTTAAATACTGAAGACCCATTGAGTTCTTCAACAAGTTCAAGACAGGTTCTCAGAAAGAAAAGACAACTTCAAGGAAAGCGTTTTGTTCATGGACCATTCCTCCCACTGTCAAATTCACTTTGACAACTACAACTTTTTTTCGTGTGTGTGTGTGTACACACAGAGGTGCACACATTTCCTATCACTTTCAACCAGGTACGCTTTTAAAACAGCAATTCCCACCCTATCATGTAATATCTAACATTATGTCATTTACGATGGTTCAAAGAGAATTCCCTGCTGTTAAGTACATCTGTTTCATGTCCAGGGTTCATTTAATACTCATTAACTAAGAACCTATCTTATACTTGATAAACACATTTTCTAGATACAATAAATTGATTTCCTCAATTTATGGATTGATGGACGAATCTTCCTGATCTAATCTCTTGAACAAGGCACCTGCGTTGAAAATTGCTTTCATGGGAAAATTTGATAAACCTCTAATTGTCTTTCCTTTCTGAAAGCATTTCTTCAGATAGATTTTTCCATTTGCTTCATCATGACAGAACACAACACACTTTATAACCATTGTTATGACTCGTTCTACAATTCGTAATGTATCTTATGATCCAAGAAATTGGATGCTGAAATTAGTTGAAGTATTAACAGGAAAAAAGGTAGTAATTTTCTTGTGACATCCTAAAGCTGCCTATGGTTTTCTTTGTCTTGGGAAATAACATTTTTTTTCCTTACCAATATACCTTCTTCACAGTTCAGCTTTGAGCCCCACAGTCTTCTGACTATATCAAGTTGGTATGGAATTTAAACATCAAAATACTCAAAGAATATGTTATTTCTTCTGCTTCAAATAAGGCTTCTGATTCATGAGTCAGCACAGGTTATCGTGGGGGGCTGCTACAGTAAACTACTTCTGGTCTGCAAATGCAGCTTGTGATTTTATACAAAAAATCAAAATTCATTCAAGTTTCCTTGAAGTTCATAATCTAAAGCGTCCAAGTGGGTAGACAGTCAGGAGCAGGAGCTGCTACAGCTATGCTGTTGTCAGTCATTCTCATCAAGGAATCAGTCTGCTCTGTCTCCCAGTTGCAGTTCTGATTATCCATAATCCTGCATGAATTACATCAATTTTGGTTCTATTACAAAACTGTAAAACACATGAGTATGATCGCTAGAGATGTCTGATGATCTGGCATGACAGTAACACCCGATTTCTATGAAACGTTTTCAAATTTCTCCTTTTTATAATGGATTATCAAATTTCACAAAGCCCTGTAACAGATACAAATTTAGCATTCCAAATTATTTTTATGAAGTATGCCTCTGAGGTACAAATATAACATTTGAGGTCATTGAGGTTAATAGGTAACCTAATTTCTTCCCAAAAGTTTGTTCGCAAACTTTTCTAATATTTTAATGATAGGAATTTTATGCTTTTACTTGCATCGTTCCTCCACAGCCCGGAGTTATGGTTTGAAAAACACGCAACCCTCATCGTACTAAGATTCCTGCTGGGATTCTTTGTGAGCTCCAGAGAGCCCACTCCACTTCAGCGTGCGATTTCTGAGCACAGCCAAATCCTGCTTAGCACTTCATCATTGATTGTGGTGGGATAACTTGGAAAGAACTTCACACACAAATAAATGTGCCCAAGAAGAACAGCTACTCCACATGAAATTTCCACTGTTTTGAGGACTACGGCTGTACACCTGCACTTCAACTGATGGAGGAAAAAAAGTCTTGGATTTGACTGCAAA